AGCATTGCTAAGAGGAAAGTTCATAGCAATAAGTGCCGTTAGAAAGAAGTTGGAAACATCTCATACAAATAACTAAACAGCACACCTAAAAGCCCTAGGAAAAAAAGAGATACACACAAGAGGAGTAGACAATTGGAAATAATCAAACTCAGAGCTAACATGAATTAGAAACAAAGAATCAATGAAACCAAGAGCTGGTTCTTTGAAAAAAATCAACAAGATAGACAAACCCTCAGCCAAACTAACTAAAAGGCAGAGAGAAACTGTCCAAATCAGCAAAATCAGAAATCAAAAGGGGGCATAAATACAGACACTAAGGAAATCCAATCATTAGGACGTACTACAAAATCCTATTTGCCACAAAATTTGGAAATCTAAATGAAATGGACAATTTTTTTTGATAGATTCCATTTACCAAAATTAAATTAAGATCAGGTAAAAAGATTGAATAATCCTATATTGCCCCCAGGAAATACAAGCAGTCATCAAAAGTCTCCCTTCCAAAAAAAGCCCTGGGCCAGATGGTTTCAGCACATAATTCTACCAGACCTTCAAAGAAGAGCTAACTCCAATTCTCTTCAAACTATTCCACAAAATAGAAACAGAAGGAACATTGCCAAATTCATTGTATGAAGCCACAGTCACCTTCATACCTAAACCACACAAAGACCCAACAAAAAAAGGGAACTTCAGACCTATCTCTTATGAACATTAATGTAAAAAATACTCAATAAAATACTTGCAAACTGAATCCAAGAACACATCAAAGATATCATCTAGCATTACAAAGTAGGCTTCATCCCAGGCATGCAGGGGTGGTTCAATATACAGAAATCCATCAATGTAATCTACCATATAAACAAACTGAAGAAGAAAAATCACATGATCATCTCCTTAGATATTGAAAAAGGATTTGACAAAATCCAACACCCATTCATGTTTAAAGTCTTGGAGAGATCAGTGATACAAGGCACATACCTAAATGTAGTAAAGACAATATACAGCAAGCCTATAGCCAACATCAAACTCAATGGAAAGAAACTTAAATCAATCCCACTGAAATCAGGGACAAGGCAAGGCTGCCCACTCTCTGCATATCTCTTCAACATAGTACTTAAAGTCCTAGCTAGAGCAATAAGACAACTAAAGGAGGTCAAGGGGATACAAATCAGAAATGAAGAAGTCAGAGTATCACTATTTGCAGATGATATGATAGTATACATGAGCGACCCCAAAAATTCAACCAGAGAACTCCTTCAAGCTGATAAATACCTTCAGCAAATTGGATGGATAGAAAATTAACTCAAAAAAATCAGTAGCCCTCTTGTATATGAAAGACAAAAGGGTTGAGAAAGAAATTAGGGAAACTACACCCTTCATAATAGCTACTAATAACATCAAATACCCTGGTGTGACTCTACCCAAGCAAGTGAAGGACCTGTTTAAAAAAAACTTCAAATCTCTGAAGAAAAAAAAATCAAAGAAGATATCAAAAGATGTTAAGATCTCCCATGCCCATGGATCTGTAAGATTAACATATGAAAATGGCCATCCTGCCAAACACAATCTACAGATTCAATGCAGTTCCCATCAAAATACCAAAACAATTCTTTACAGACCTTGAAAGAACAATTTCAACTTCAAATGGAAAAACTAAAAACCCAGAATTGCCAAAACTATCCTGTACAACAGATTATCTGTAGGTATCTCCATCCCTGATCTCAAGCTGTACTACAGAGAAATAGTAACAAAAACTATGTATTACTAGCATAGAAACAGAATGGTGCATCAATATCATTGAAGGCACAGATATAAACCTGCACACCTACAGACACTCAATTTGTGACAAAGAAGCCAAATCATAAAATGGAAAAAAGACCCAGAAATAAACCCACACACCTATGAATCCTTGATTTTTGACAAAGAAGCCAAAACCATTCAATGGAAAAAGGACAGCATCGTCAACAAATGGTGCTGTTCTAACTGGATGTCTACATGTAGAATAATTGCATATAGATTCACATTTATTACCTTGCACAAAATTAAAGTCCAAGTGGATCAAAGACCTCAACATAAAACCAGAAACACTAAATCAGTTAGAACAAAAAGTGGGGAAGAGCCTAGAACTCATTGGCACAGGAGACAACTTCTTGAACAGAACACCAAGAGCACAGGCTCTAAGAGCAACAATCAATAAATGGGATCTCATGAAACTGAAAAGCTTCTGTAAAGCAAAGGACACTATCATCAGAAAAAAATGACAGCCTACAGACCAGGAAAGGATCTTCACCAATCCTATATCTGACAGAGGGCTGATATCCAGAATTTATAAAGAACTCAAGAAGTTAAAAAGCAACAAAACAAGTAATCCAACTAAAAACTGGGTACAGAGCTAAAGAGAATTCTCTGTAGAAGAATATTGAATGGCAGAAAAACACTTAAAGAAATGTTCAACATCCTTAGTCATTAGGTAAATACAAATCAAAATGACCCTGAGATTTCACCTTACACCCATCAGAATGGCTAAGATCAAAAACTCAAGTGACAATACATGCTGCAGAGGATGTTAAGAAAGGGGAACCCTCATCCATTGCTGGTAGGAATGTAAACTAGTACAATCACTTTGGAAATCAATCTGGCACATTCTCAGACAGTTAGGAATAGTGCTTCCTCAAGATCCAGCCTACCACTCCTAGGCATATGTCCAAAAGATGCTCAAGTACACAAAAAGGACATTTGCTCAACCATGTTTGTAGTAGCTTTATTCATAATAGCCAGAAACTGGAAACAATCCAGATGCCCCTCAACTGCGGAATGGATACAGAAATTGTGGTACATTTACACAATGGAATACTCATCAGCAATTAAAAACAAGGAAATTATGAAATTTGCTGGTAAATGGTGAGATCTAAAAAAGATCATCCTGAGTGAGGTATCCCAGAAGACACATATGGTATATATTCACTCTTAAGTGGATATTAGACATATAATACAGGATAAATATGCAAAATCTGTATACCTAAAGAAGCTAACCAAGAAGGAGAAGCCTGGATAAGATGATCAATCCTCACTCATATAGGTAAACTGAATGGACATCGGAAGAGAGAGAAAACAGGAAACAGGACAGGGGGACTACCACAGAGGGCCTCTGAAAGACTCTACCTGGCAGAGTATAAAATTAGATGCTGAGACCCATAGCCAATCTTTGGGCAGAATGCAGGGAATCTCATGAAAGAAGGGAGAGGTACAAAGCCCTGGAGAAGACAGGAGCTCGACAAGGAGAACAACAGAACCAAAAAATCTGAACCCAGGGGTCTTGGTTGGAGACTAATACTCCAACCAAGGACCATGCATGGAGATAACCTAGAACCCCTGAACAGATGTAGTCCATGGCAGCTCAGTGTCCAAGTGGGTACCCTAGTAAGGGGAACAGGGACTGTCTCTGACATGAACTCAGTGGCTGGCTCTTTGATTACCTCCCCCTAATGGGGGAGCAGCATTACCAGTCCACAGAGGAAGAAAATGCAGCCAGTCCTGATGAGACATGATAGGCTAGGGTCAGATGGAAGGGGAAGAGGACCTCCCTTATTAGTGGACTTGTAGAAGGTCATGGAAGGAGATGAGGGAGGGAGGGTGGGATTGGGCGGGAATGAGAGATGGGGCTTCAGCTCGGATACAGAGTGAATAAACTGTAATTAATATAAAAAATAAAAGTAAAATTAAAAAAGAAAAAATTTTGAACTATTGCCTGAATGAAGTAATTAATTTAATATTCAATTTCAACATTTTAAATTATTATTTTTTATTCCAATTTATTTACTTTACATCCCTCCCACCTCTCTTCCCAGTCCTCCCCTTGCCCTTACTTCCTCCTTCTCCTCTCCCTTTCCTCCCCGAAAGGGAAGCCCATCTCCCCCCATATCAACTCTCCCTAGCACATTAAATCACATCAGGACTGAACATATTCTCATACACTGATGCCAGGCAAGGCAGCCTTGCAAGGGGGAAGTGAACCAAAAGCAGGCAATAGTCCATTTTAGAAACATTCCCCACCTCCACTAGCCAGGGGACCCACATAAAGACCAAGCCACCCATTGGCCCCATATGTCTAGGGTCCTAGGTCCAGACTATGTATGCTCCTTAGCAATTTCAACATTTTGAAAAACTTTAATAACAATCATATTCATTAGGTGGAGAAAGAGCCCAAATTGGAGCTCTTTACTGGGTCCCTCCTTTGGAGCTTGGAGAACTCCACAGAAGAGGGAAAGAAAGAATTGTAAGAGCCAAAGGGGTTGAGGACACCAGAACACGGCCCATGGGGGTTCACAGACACGGAAGCAGCAATCCAGTAGTCTGTATGGGTCTACACTATGTCCTCTGCATATATGTTCTGGTTGTTAACCAGTTGGTTCTGTGGGACTCCTAACAGTGGGAGTAGGGTGTTTCTGACTCTTTCATCTGCTCTAGGGAGCCTTTTCTTCCTATTGGCTTTCCTTGCCCAGCTTTGATATGAGGGTTTGTACCTAACCTTAGTGTATCTTGTTATGCTGTGTTCAGCTGACATCCCTGAGAGGCTTGCTCTTTTCTGGGGGGAAATGAAGGAGAAGTGAATATGGGGATCAGGGAGGTGGGGAGGGGACCCTGGGAAGAGTTAGTGGGAAGACTGAGAAGAGTGGAGGAAGGGGAAACTGCAGTCAGGATGGATTGAAAAATAACTTAAAAAAAAACAGATTTAAAAACAAAACAAAAATCTTAAATGCCAATTTCAACATACTTTAAGTTGATAAAGGTTCAGAGATTAACCAAAAACTATCAAAACTGATAATTATACATATTAAATTATCAAACTTTGTCATAATGTGCTCTTTATAACAAATGCAAAGTGAAGAAAAAATTTCCAGCTACAAATTTTGTATCACCATTACCCACCGTAGGTATAGATAAGAATTGACTGTATTAGTATACATAGTGAAATAGCAATATATCTTCAAGTTACTTACATCATCAGTGATACAAAGATACACAATCCTGTCTTGGCAGATGTAATGAAATAAATAACTGTAGAATAAAAGACATAAAACTTATTGTGGTGTTAAGCATCATTTATTTCACTTCTAAGATCTAGCTATATATAAGCCATTTCAGTATGTCAAATTTCTCTATATTAATTACAAATACAATCCATTTTCATCTTTCCCTCCCCAATAAATTTCTATCTCTGGTTAAACTGACATGAATGAATAAAACATGAAAAGAAGCTCTCTTTCCTAAATATAATAACATGCATCAACCATTAAAATGTTAGCTACAAAAGCATAACTGGATTCTTAAGGACTAAAGGAGAGATTAATCCCCAGTGGGCCAGATATTTTGGTTTTTGTTTATTTTTTACTTGGCAAATAGAAACACCTTTGCTACCAAATTCTCAACAATAACATTTGAGTATGTGCTTTGATCAAGTCAGTGCAAGACAATATGGACACAGAATGTAAAGCCATCATTTTTGAGATCATAGTACAAGGAATTCCAATGCAAGAAGGCAAAAAAGTTGATAAGGAAATTGAGGGTAGTATATGGTACTCTGGGGACACATAGGAAGCAGGTAATAGACATTTACCAAAGGGTAAGAGTGATATATGATCTGAATTCTAAAGAATAAATAAGAGCAATTCAAAGAATCAGCAAAGGGTATACAAAAGAGCAAAATTAGTCAGTGTAAGCATGTGGAGATAAAAGAGCACATAATAGATATAGAAGAGTAAAATCTGTTTATATGACAAAAGTACAGAACATAGATGAAAAGAGTAATTCCCTAAACAGATGACAGTGGAAAAGTAAATACTGGATTATACAAAATTTTTTAAACTGCATTGTACACTGCCTTGAGGACAAAATTTGAAAACTTTTTTTTTTTGCCTGGGGCAGGTAATTTATTACATTTTATAATGTCCAAATTCAATATGGAATACACTACATGAACTCTAGTCCTATACATGCTAGTGTCTATCACATTTAAAATTTTAAAAACCTGCTTTTGTCTTTCAGAACAGATTTTTAAAAACAAGTATTGTAACTATACTCCAGTAAATGGTGAGAACTATTACAAATTTTATAAAGAAACAAAGAAATTAGCACTGAATAGTAAATTAAGTGTGGGTGGAAAGCAAAATCGGGGACTGAAGTAGTAGGGGACAAGGTCACTGAAGATAAAATGGAGATAGAGAAGGAATGGGCTGAGAAACTTGTTAAAGAAAAGTAAATCTTTGGTGAAGAAATGAAGTATAACTCTGAAGTTTTAGGTTTAGCTAGCGGAATATCCAGTGAAAATATTCCACATATATAAAGTTGATGTTCTTATTTTGGTATACAGAAGTATAAGTTATCTTACTGAGATGACAAACATGATTACATGACTAAAATTAGGGTAGAAGGTTAAAAAGAAAAAAAATCAGTAATTAAATCTCACCTAACAAACACAGGAGTATCAGATGAAGATTTGGGTAGAGATCACAGTATGTATAAAATATTTTCTTCTACTAAAACTTACATTGTAATAATAATTCCTAGCTTCCCTTGAAGCTAGATATATGTATGTTACTAATTTCTGGCTCTAACAATATTAATAGAAGATATATTTCCTTCCTCTCCTTAAAAGAATTCCTTTTTTTCATAGGCACTGATTAGAAACACATACATTGTAAACATAAAGTGTTTTGAAGAAAATATAAAGCCATACTCACAAGACACTGAAATTATTTAATTCCTATTATAATATCTGGGCCCCCAAACCAAAACTGTAAGATGTAGACTATAAAACCTGTAAGTTCCCAAAGATGACACACTCTCTGACATTAATTTTGTGTATGGCCAAAACAATAACATATAGGAATAACTTACTGGAGAATAAAAATAGAAGACTGGTTGAGAAGATGAGAAGTTTCTCCAAGAAAAATGAATCACTACCCCATTCCAAATTATTTTGAAGTAGTTATTTGATCACTGTTAGTAAGCAATGATATTTGGATGGTTAGAGAAGTAAATGGAAGACGGAAAATCATCCTCTGCTGAATTATAATAAATTCTTCTGGAGTAAGGGCTTTATTTAACCCAATGGCCACAGAGACAATGTGGAAGTTCCTAGCTTCCCTTCTACCTAGTTAAGCTACATGACTATACACTGAGGAGGAAAAAAATACAATTACAAACTTGAAGCCACAAAATGCAAGGACACTTCTGACCCCTGCCTTTAAAAACACCAGAAAAATCACTGGGACATAATAATAACAATAAAAGAAGCTGTCTTGGCCAAAGTTGGAAGGTATTGATAGCAGAGTCAACCCACTAGCTCTGAACCACTCATTTCTTTGGACTGTTTTCATATACATCAATTTTGTATCTCAGTGTCTTTCTCACAGTAGCTTTAACTAACTTGTAAAAGTGCTTAACCCTATAAAGGCAGTTGAGCATGGTGGAACACACCTTTAATCCCAGCACACAGGAGGCAGAGGCAGGAGGATCTCTGTGAATTCAAGGTCATCCTGGTCTACAAAGCAATTCCAGGATAGTCAAGGCTACTTAGAGAAACTGTCTTGAAAAACCAAACCAAACCAAAACAACAACAAAAAACAAAACAAAAACCCTCAAACCCCCAAAACCAAAGAAACAAAAAAGAAGTGAAACAATAAGGATCAAATAATAAAATATTGTAAGAATCAATGAGGAAAGTTAAGGTACTTTTTCACAAGATTACTAGGATTTTCCATCTATAGCCTAATATGCCACCATAGTATCTTTCTAGAGCAAAAGCCATCATGCCGTAAAAATCTTCAGTACCTTTTCACTGCCTACAGTTAAGTCTAAACTCTTAATATGTCCTATGAAGCCACACATGACTTTCTGCTACCCATATCTTGAGTTTTATCACCATCATGCTGAGTACTAGTCACAGAGAATGACTTTTAATTCCATAAATATGATTGCATCACTACTTAACAGCCTGCTTGATGTTTCTTCTAACTAGAATGCCAATATTTCAGTTTCTATTATACTTTTCTACAGATTGCCTCATTAAACTATAATCTTTATGAAGGCAAATACATTTCTTGTTATATCACTTTCACCAGGAAAAGTACATATCAATAGCTAAGTACTGTGTTAATATTTACTAAAAGAATAAAAAAGGAAATACTGTTTATTATCTTTTTCATTTCACATATCTTAGAACTCTACAGTAAAGCCATTTATATACATAACATTCCCATATTTTTATTTAATATATCATTTCTTATGATAAAATGAAATAATCACAGGTTAAGTTAATAAGTAACAAAGCCAGACCTTATATTGTTTTGAGATAGGGTTTCACTCTGGTTTAGGCTGGCCTTCAACTCACAGTGGGATCTAGTAGCAGGATTAGAGGCATGAGCTACCACCATGCCTAGCTTAGCACCAGATTCCAAACTAGTCAAGTTTTGTCAAATTAGTCTATCTAAAAGCTTGTTTTCCAGTGTTTGATTACACTAAAATTCCTTCCCTCTACCACATGCAGACCAGAACTCACTTGCCATGTGAGTAAGTTAGTTTATTATTTTCAGAAGGTATCTTAGCCAGAATCTGCTCTGTCACCTCCAGGAAGTTTCCTCCACACCAAGCATGTTTGGCAAGGATAGTGGTTCCCCTGGCAACAACAGCAAAAAGAATGGCCATGACTTCAATCTATTAAAAGTAAAAAAAAAAAAAAGACAGATTTAGAATATTACTTAGGCATGAAATTTCAAAAGCAAACCTATCATTTATCTACATCCATCTAGAGATAGTATTGTACAAGTCATTATAGTATAAAAATTAATGAAGACAATAGGAAGTGGGGGCATAGCTCAGTGGTATAAAGTATGCTTAATATGCTTGTAGACCTGGGCTTCATCCTCATCAATAAGGAAAATAAAGGGAACAACCTTAAGGTCTTCTACAATCTTATGACTAAACTGCTTATAGTTACAAAACAGTGTACACACAGGCTATATTTATAAATTATATAGCAGAAACTGATACTCTTTTGAAAGCATTGGTCACAGATAGCAAAGTGACATAAAGATGCCACCGCAGTTTAATAAAATAATCTCATCTTGAAAGTTTATCCTAGGGAAACAGTTTAGCAGAAACTAGACTCTGGATTCACAAAGATCACTGTTAACAAGAACAACAACCCATATTTATTAAATACTCACCTTGTAACAGGTGATACTAGTTTAAGTACTTTATAATTAACTCATTTAATCTCCAAAACTCAATAACTCAATAGGATTATACCAGTTATGATGCTATTAATTTATGTGTGTGTGTGTGTGTGTGTGTGTCACTGACTCCTTAACACTTTTCCCCAAATTTGCAGAGCTAAAGTAATTTGATGATTTAAACCCAGACAGTGTGATTCTTGAACCCACATAGCTGCATAGAACCAATAATGTATATATCATACGATTTATGCCTATATGATAATTACCTCTAAAGTAAAGGCATTATCCACAAAAGCAATTAAATGAAATTAACCTAAACCTTCCACAGGAGAAGAGTTGTTTTATGATTTATGGTAGGACTTTCATAAACAAACTGTTATCAAAACAATAGAGCATGAGTTCAAAATTACTTTCCTGATATTTGGATATGAATATGCTTATTTTTCCTCATACAACAAGCCAGGTTCCCCTGTTTTAAGTTTTAAGCTATAGAAATCAACAAATTAACTCTTTAATGCAATATAATTTAACCAAGTAAATCAATGGTTCTCATACTATAGTGAGACTATGAATCATGATAGGTGACAGAATGAGTCACTTGACATAATATCTTAAAATCTGACTTTTAAGCCAGAGGTCAGGTTCTGAAAATTGTAGTTAAATAATTTAGCCTGGATAAGCTTAGAAGAAAATAATTCACATAACCATACTCCAATATACAAAGTAGAAAACTATGAAGTACTTGGGGTCAGAGAACCCGCTGAATCATGATTGGAATTTCAGCACTGAATGATAGTACAGAGTAAAAAGCATTCATCTGTCTTTTCAACTGATCTTCTAGTAGGATCTTTTTCATTCCTATTGCCTAAATAAATTTGTTCCCTGGGGTTATGTCATCAGCAGTATTCTTTCCAGACTCCTCTGTACAAACATGTAGGAAGTTACAGTTTCCAAACCAATGTTTTATACTTTTTATCTCCCTTGCTCTCAAAGCCTCCCTTGACCAAATATTATCACTTTACCATTATTATTCTATTTCTTAGACTTTTGTTTATATATTATCTTTGCTTCTCTGCCTTCTTTTAACCCCTCAACTTACTATACTCTGGCTTTTGACAATCAAAAATACAGTGCCTCCTAAAATCACCAACAGCCTCCCTCTATGCTATAAAATAGTGATTACTTTTTATTATTTTTTATTATTATTACCTTACTTTCACTCTCAAGAGCCATCAACATGCTAATTCTCATTCTTATGTAGTTGGCTTCTTTGGCATTTTTTCTTAATGACTTTTTCTCCCATAACTCACTAAATATTAAATTCTCTCAGCGACTGATTCTATACCCCTTTATCACAGATGAATTCATGTCGACTTAACATAGAAAAGATAATTCATAGAAGACACATTGCATATAAAAGAATAGGGTCAATGATAAAAGCAAAGATACAACCAACAACTGAGAGAAAGATAAATGAGTAGAGACTCATGAAAACTTAAGAGGATCAACTGGGAAAATGTAGTTCAGAGGCCAAAGGGAAAGAAAACTTGAGGTCTAGAAAATAGGGACTTTAATTTTATAAGGAAGGAAGCTATTGCATAGGGTCAAAGAGACATATAGTCAAGCAAACAAAAGCACAAAAAGATACAAAGAATTCAAATGGTAGCCAGTCAGAAAGATAAAGTAGTAACCTTGGTTACTCTACAACTTTAAGAAGAAAACTAAGTTTTGCAACAATACAAAAAAAGATTGTTTTCATCAACTGTAAATTCATTATGAACCAAGGGCATGAGGTAACTTTAAAATACCTAAATAATCCTAAATTGTGTTTAAAAATAGAATAATTTGCTCCCCTTAAGTCCTATTACTATTTCATGCTGTACTGTCTAAACTGTACAGAGAACACTGTATTCAATTCTGTGTATCTCAAGACTGGAGAGAAGGGAGAGTCTACATGTGAGAAATCTGGAGATTATGTCATATTAAGGATGAATTGAGGAAAGATAGTTAAGAAAAAGAGAAGGGGAATGTGAAACATTTTTTTAATTAATGGAAAGTGTATATGTATTGAAATAGAGAGCACATTATTCAGAGTAAAATTGGCAATAGTGGATATAAGTTATAGAGAAGTAGTGTAGGTTTTTTTTTCCTCTCAATGAAAATAGTTCCTAAATAAAATGTATACTGCTACACATTGTATATATAGTAAAAGAAACCTGATTTTCTTTTGATATGTCACCGATAGGAATCTTTTCACTCTGTCCTGTATTACTGAAAAAAAAAATCTACATATAGTCAAATCTTGATTGACCACACTGTAACTCTTTCCCAGCTAAATGTGTAACATACTGATGAGTTGATGAGTGTTGAGGTAACAGAAACAACTGTAGCATAAAAAACTCTTACTCTATTTGAAATAAGGAAACCTAGCTCTGCTATAATCAGCACTATATGATTGTCTAATAAACCACGAAATGCTGTATAAAATAACATTCAGAAAGAAAAAGCATAGAAACAAAATGCAGAGAAGCAACAAACAACAAAAACCGTAATGGAAGTATCAAATTTTCATCAACACTATTTCTCCCAATTATCTTAAACATTTCTCATTTAGGCTAATAGCCATTATCTAAATTCTACTTAGATCTTGCTGAGAATTCTAAATTAGTTTTCTGTGGCAGCCATAAAAATTACAAGAAAAGATGGGTAACCACTGACAGAAATTTATTTCCTCAAAGCTTAAAAGGACAGAGGGCAAAAATCAAGATGTTGGTGGATCTATGTTCCCTACGAAATCTGTAGGGAAGAATCTTTAGTCCCTTCTAGCTTCTGGTAGTTTGCTAGCAATTTTTTGGCTTGCAGCAGTAGCACTTTAAATTTGCCTCTCTAGTCACATGGTGCTCTCTTTTCTTCACATAACATTGTTTCTGTGTCTCTTCTATCCTCATGACACCAGTCATATTAGTCATGTCCCCTCTACTCCAATATGACCACATCTTAACTATATTTATAAAGCCCTATATGCTTTAAGGTACTACACACAGGTATGAGAAGCCAGGACTTCAACATAACTTTATGGAAAACACAATTAACACAATTAAAAATACTCAGTTTTCTCAAGTCAATCCTATTTTCTGCTTTCCACATAATTTACATCCCTCCAATTTGCCTCTCCTATTTCTATAAACCAGCTACTTCATCTTTTTCCTCAGTGGTATTAGAGACCTATCCTTATAGCTATGAGGCAATCTTGTATGGTTTGAACTTAGAAAAGCTTGTTGTAGTTGGATGTGGTTGTGCACACCTGTGATATGAGCACTTAGAAATAGAACCAGACTATGAAGAGTTCAGGGTAAGTCTTAGCAATATAGTGAGTTCAAGTCTAGCCTGGATGTGACAGCCAAAGCAGTAGACAATGGAGATATGAAACTCAGGAAGAGAGGACTCCTATACTAAAGGGAATTATAATACAAAGGGAGAAATAAATAAACACAATACGGTGTAAATAATGAATACTTTAAGAATAACCACAGTTATTCAAATTTGATAAGATTATGTGATTCTAATCTTGAACGAAGACAAGGAATTACTATGTACCAATCTATCATCATTTTCCTCTGCATACTGTTAACATTTCTTCTTAAAAGAGAGGTCAAAGTGTTTGCTTTACTTTATCTTCCCAATTCTCAGCACAATATCTGATGAAGAATATTAATTGAACAGTTAAGTGAACACTGGGTACACTTAAAATTCTAGCAGATAACTTTATGTTCTATAGAACCTGGCAAGAAGAGTCTTTCTTTCTTTCTTTCTTTCTTTCTTTCTTTCTTTCTTTCTTTCT